GGTTGCTGCTTTAGGTCAACGGGTTGTAGTTTCGCTTGATATGTATGGGGTATCCCCCGGTTGATTTCTATCAGTTCCGCAGTTAGTGTTAATTGCCAGCGTTTACCAGAGTGGATAACCCTAAACGATTTTCCTAACCTACTAGGTCGGTAGAATAGATGGGTTGTTGTGCTACCGAGCGACGGATCACACTCTAAATTGGGTTCAACGCAAGATTATCAAAAGGAATAATACGCGAACACCGCCGAATACGGAATACAGAACAATCCCACATCACCAATCCTGAGGCCTCTGTGGATATGAGAAGACTAATGTATTGTGCCTATTCTCTCTGTGTTTGAAGGGCTGTGTTTTTGTATGTATGGCTTTCCAATGTTCACGCTCATTCTTTTTACTCTTCACAAACAAATTTTTAGAATTCACCCAAATTCCCCCTGCAGTTTCACGTCGGTGCACAAAAGTTTTCCCTTGTTCCCATTTTGTTAGATATCAGATAGCAATTTTCATGTCCATTCTCGCTGTTCTTTTTTCCCCCGCAGTATGTGTCGGAAGCTTGCCAAATGTTGCGTCTACTTGGTCAAGGCCGTTTCGCTCAGGTCTGGTTGGCGAAACTAGAACCCTCGACTGGAACAGATTCCGGTTTGGATATATCACATCGGTCACCCTATTCAGATCCGTTGAGTGATAGTTTATTACTACCCGACGCTTCTCAGCCGAATGACTCGTAAGTAATTGGTACTTTTTACATTGGATTGCATATTTTTGGTTGTGTATAAATGTCAATTGAACGAAAAACTGATCGAAAGGTATGGTACACTATGGGGTGTACGGGAGGGTTATGTTTGCATTCACTTCACTTTACATTTGGTGGGAAAGGAAATGAGTAATCGGGCGAATATGGTCCTCAATGTAGCTATCTTTTTCACATGGTTTTAGAAGTGGTGTAAGGGACAGTTAAACAGAGCAGCANGGGGGGGGGGAGGGCGGTTTTCCGTCTCCTTTCCCACCTTCATTTATTTTACTCTCATCCGTGCTACCACAAAGCGAACGCACGCATGAACGATTACACTCGCGACTAAACGTTCGTCAGGGTGGACTAAATAAGATTCAGAGTAAGTGATTCTCGAAATCCTCGACGAGATGGGGTACGGTATTCGAAGGTGATAGCTTCCTAATGAGCGAACGAAACCCACTGCCTAATCAAATGGCTATAAAGGGAATCCCTCCAACTAACAAAAATGTATGCATACCTGGGTTGCACCCACAGTCATTGAATGGTGAAAATAAATTCCTAGGAAGTCCAAGGTTTATCTTCCGTAAAGTTGACTCATCCTCTAGCAGACGACAGTTAGGTAAAGATAAGTAGGTGGAAATATGTTCCGCTTTACTATATGGGCGCATTTTGTACATACAATGGGTTTGTGATGCAGATTCTTCGCTGTTTCGTGCTGATCGGCTATCGTGAGACAATCTATGTAGTCTTTCTGATTCTCTCGTGCTCTGTTGCTTGCTGTGTGTGACTCGAAGCAGTGCAGAGCCTTTTTTACTGCTTGTGTGGACGCTCACCACACCAATTGTGTTACAGAATGCACATGGTGGTAAATAAAGTGTTGAGATGCAATGTACGCTCAATATTGATGCATAGGCCTACGGATGTAAATGCGTCATAATGAATGCTCAACAACGGAAACGATACACTATCTCGGAGAAATGAGATCCGCGTTGGCGTGTTCCACAGATTTTGGAATTTTCGCGCACATGACTGGGTTTAGTGTTTGAAGAAAGAATTCATGGAATAACAAATTTGTGGAAGTTGAATAACAAATCTGCCAAGTGCATCGCTAATATTCACCCTCCAAGACCGACGAACAATACTACAACAAACGAGTTTGTGGTTAAACTGATGGAAGCTTGCTCCTTCGGGATATTTCTACACGCATGCAGTACCAGATGCTTTCGATTGATTCTTGGATGTTATGCGTAAGTTGTTCTTAGAATCCATGCATATGTTGTGACAGTTTTGGTTTCGGGCTTCGGAACTACCTCAGCCAAGGGTGGTCGATCTAAGACCTGGCATGAGGTTATGGAAACCTTAACCAGGAGTCTGGGTCACATAGGTCCCGTTGGGCTCCATGGCTGGGGACCTCGGGATTATCGTAACCGCTGGTTAGAGACACTGGGCGATCTGGCTGGGTGTCGTAAACAGTGGCGTTCGTACATCTTGTCAGTTTATCTGCAAAATTAGTGCAATGAAATCCTAGATTTTCTCTTTGATCCTAATTTCAACCTTTCTTGTCTTTCTCTCTCATGTTCATCCAAATGGGCAGCCAAAACCGGCGCACGATAGTGCATGGTTAATGGTTGTAGAAACTGAAACTGAAACTGATGACTCAGTTCAACCTTGGTCTCATCGTTGATGAAACTCCTTGGGTCGGTATGGAAGAATAAACAAGTTCCCGCTAAATGGTGTGAATCGGTTATATTACCGATTTACGTGAAAAAAGATAAACCCTCTAGTGAAAACGAGGGAGAAGTAAATTTATTCATCATCATCTCTAAAATTCTCGCTGGGTTCATACTCTGTCGATTGTCTGCGCACGTGAACGGTGCACGCATGAGAACCAGGCTGGTTTTAGACCTGTTCGAGATTGCATAGGCCACATCTTCACTGTTCGCCAAATTCTGGAGCACCGGCATTCTTTTCATAGACCCACCATTTCTATCTTTCTCGATCTGAAAGTGGCTTTCAACTCAGTCGACCGCTCTTCACTCTGGTACTTCCTCTCTCTAAAGGATGTACCCGAGAAGTTCATTTCAATATTACTATCCCTTTATACTAATGGGTGAAGCCGAGTCCGAGCTCACAGTGGTTTTTACCCGAGTTGACCACAAAAAAGCGGCGTCCGTTAGGATCGCACTCTCTCCTATTTAACTGTGTGATAGTTTGGGTTATGAAAACAGCTGTGTCCTCGTGCGAGAATAGTGATATCAGTTTGCCCCCGGATGGCAGAGTGTCTGATCTGCATGCAGTATTCAGATTACATTGTTCTGCCAAGTGAAGATCCAGGTAAATTGGAAGCTTTTCTGGATAGATCGATTACTAGTGTAGTCATGTTCGGTATGTGTTTTGCACCTTCAAAATGTAAAATGTTCCCGCAAGACTGTCGGTCCAGCACCCAGCCTCACTCTAACTGAGGAACTAATTGAACAAGTGGACAAATTTTGTTATTTGAGCAGCTATAACTCACCCCATGGATGCATCACGGATGGATTGTCAGCGCGCATACGGAAGGCTCGGTTGGTATTTGCCAACTTGAGACATCTGTGGTGCTGTCGCGAAATCTGGCTGTCAGTGAAGTTGTCAGTGTATGCTTCGGTAGTTAGGCCAGTCCTTCTCTACGGTGCAGAGATTTGGCCATTAAGGAAACAGGATAAAGATAGACTGTTGGCGTGCGAACACCACTGTTTACGTCGCATCGCACGAGTCTGGTGGGAAACCGTACGAGCAATGCTGAGGTCAGGCGCAGAGTTTTAGGTATTCGGGGTCGCCCACTGGAGCAAGTGGTCGACCTCCATAGATTACGTTGGTTGGGGCATGTGGTTGCCCCGGCGCGCGATGTTTTCCGAGCCAGGCAGTGGATTGAAAAAGGTTAACGGTGATCAAGCTAAGACCTGGTACTAGAGTATGAAACTAGGAGACTCGGTTACATAGGTACCGTTAGGCTCCCTGGCTGGGGCTCTCGGGATGATCGTAACCGATGACACTGAGTGATATGGCTGGTTGTCGTAAGCAGTGGTGTTCGGGCAGCTCAATTGCTTTGCAACCCTAGATCCTTGAAATTCTCCATTTTCTGTTCAGCTTTACTTTTCAACTATTCAGTCTTTCTCCTACTGTTCATCCAAATTGGTATCCAAAAGACAGCAACCAAAACCGGGGCACGAAGGTGCATGGCAAATGATTGCACAAACTGAAATCGAAACCATGACTCTGCTCCTACCAAATGTCAGGAAACGGAATATTCGTTTTCAGCATCATAACGTTTTCAAAGGGACGGTGATGGCCTGGCGGCAACATTAACAAATTCTTACCCCGGATGACGTGTGTTTCAATCCCATCACCACCGCCTGACTTTCCTCGTTGTTTATTGTATGGCAGTCCTTTGATTGGCCGCTTCTCCTTTCTGAAATGTGTATCACTATGTATTTAATAAAAAGGAAGGAAAGATGGAAAAGAGATTCGGAAAGAAGTCCGTCTTAGCCGGTTATACAATGTACATTTTAGGTTCAGATGTTTTATGCGTGTCGATCGGGCAATTCGTAAAACACTTCACTGAAAAATCCGCTGCGTCAGGTGGCCCATTGATAGAACACAGAACACGCAAAACCAACGAGGTTGATTACAAATTTCTCATGTAATCATTTTTTCGTCAACTCAGTGAAAGCACGCATGCAATAAAACAGTCAAATCACAAATTATAACCAAATGTAATCATTTTTCATCAAACACCATTGGTCGTGGCAGTCAGCTTACATGCTACATGGTGGATGCCATATGCCTCTGTAAGTTGGATGAATGATTCGAATGTGAAAAGATCAGTGCTATCGGAGTGGCCTCTTAGTTCTGGAATATCCGTTAGTTATCCGACTTCATCCGCCGTCTTTCCAATCCGATTAGTTGGAAGCGCGCAGTCGTCCCACGATCCGCTGTCAAGTCAACTGCATGCGCGCAGAATGCCGACGCAGCATCTGGAGTGCGTCATTACTTAATCCTCTCGGAACATTGTGACGTCTTTATCTTCGTTCATTTTAAGGTGTGTTCCCGGTGGGAGGATTAATATCACACAATCTCACTATCTTTCATCACAGAACCTGGTCATAATTTGTGTCCGCTTAAGTGAATTACGTACCTTATTGCTAGTAATGACTGTCTGCACCAAATGACAGTGTCCGCAGATCATCTTACTTACTTTTACTTTTGATCGACTAACTCCTGCGGGAGGAAAAGTCGGCTTTTTGGATGTCTCCAATGATGTCGGCCCATGCATGAAGATCGTAGCAAGGTTGACGCAGTGTAAAAACCAGTTCTAGTTCCAGTTACGAATTCCACATATGGATTGGAGGCCCAGTAATTCCAAATCCGCCTTGATCGTACTGCTCCAGGTCTTCAGTTGACTACCGATTCGGCAACGCCATCCACGGCATGGTGCGAGGGCTACAGCATGTCGCGAGATCTGAGTGTCGGGCCTTCGGGGCACATGGCCAAACCACTAAAGGCGCCGACGTTGTAGCATTTTTGAAAGCTTGTTAATGTTCAAGCGGCGCCGTCGAATCTAATCATTTGAAATCCGATCTCTCCATTTTACTTTCAAGATGCGATGTAGGCACCAATAACCAAAGACTTCGGGCTTCTTTGTATCTTGCACTCTTAGCGGTCAGGTTTCACAACCATAAATGAGAATGGGACGAATAGAAGCCCGCTAAACCCCAAGTTTAGCTTTTAAGGCTTATTTCGCATTGATTCCACAACGGTTTGAGGAGTTGCAGGAGGGCTTCTCTAGCTCCATCTACACAGAGTTTGATTTCATCCTTAGTCTGGCCCTTTGATCTTATCCTAGGGCCAGAATACTTAAAAACTTCGGTTGATTCGACAATCACCCCGTTAATCGAGAGGGGTTGTGTCATGGCAGAGATTTCGGTCGAAAATGTTTTCCTTTTTGGCGTGTT